CACACATGCATGCAACATAGGCATACACACACACACACACGTACACATAAATGAAACCTTTCTGATCCCAGTTTAATTTTTTCACATGCATTTTTCGCTCGGAACAAGATCGCAATCTCTCCTTTCAGCTGCTGTGCACTCGGAGCTGTTCTCTGGGGGAGAAGGGGAGGGAAAGGGGGAATGCGAGATGGAGTGTGAATAGAAACGTTACACACACAAAGGTCAGCTGGGGAAAGACAGAACTATGATACAACACAACAGAGCACACTGTATTCTGCTGCGATTTCTCTGCTGTCCCCACATGTACAGGCATCGGCTTCTGAGTCCGCATGACTTCATTCTCTTAACAAGCATTCGATTAAACCGGCGACAGCTGATCTTTTCAGTTTCTTTGAGAAGAATACGAGCGAACGAGCAAGTCAGTGGCTAAGCCACGAACAAGCTCAGTTTGCAGAACGGAGGCCGACCTGGTTAACACGGTCAGAGAATATCCACGAAGAGCTATGAGCTGCTGTTGCAATTTTATGCTTCGGTTTGTAGCCATCTGGCGCTGAATTTGCCCCCCCAAATCAAAGGTTCGGCCTCACAGTTTTCATTGCTCGGAAAAAGACAACTTGCCGAATCTATCAGGGTAAAAATTGCCTCGTCTTTTGTCCCCTCCATCGCACTCGAAACCCATTTGGAGAATGGAAGAAAAATGCTTCATCCCTCAAGCATGAAACAGCTTCGAACGAGGGACGGAAATGTCCGAGGTACAAGCTGATCTCAGCTCAGGAGCACTGCGGTTATCCTCAGTGTTACTGGGCTAGGGAGTGCCACATTACAGCAACAACTACTTGCAGTTGTATCGCGCCATTCCCACGGGCTGATGTCTCAGAGCACCTCACAGTGGCGAGGTTCAGATGCAAACCAGGTGAAGGGGGCGGGAGGTGACCTTGGGTGTCACGTGAAGTGCTTTGAGACGTCCTCCCGACCTGAAAGGTGCAATATCAAAAGCAAGATAATACGATTTGAAGAGCTGATATTCTATGAAGCAAGTGATTTACTATCCGACTATACGAATGTATCAGGCAGCGTCAACAGGACGCCAGAGAACCAGTACGGAACGAATTGCTCTTTTAAGTTGAATAAAATTGAAAGCGAGTTTCTTCCCAATGCTTTAAAAATGAAGGATCGTAATACTCTCAGTATTTCTGTAGTTCGCTAAGGAAGCAGCTTAAATAACACAGGCACAGACCTCAGCTTGCCAGCTTTTCGATTGTGTTTAGTGGTTCTGCCTTGAGGGAAAACAACTCATGGGAAATGTTACGCGTTTGTACAATTTCTAGAGAGGAAACGTTATTCCCTGGAATTATCCTGTACGCGGTAGAGAGAAAAATGTCCCTTTTGGTTTACGTTTTGCAAAAGCTACAAGTCATTGCGTGTGAAAATCAACAATATTGCCTTGAGCCAAGACATCTCAGGGGTTTATATTAAAGGTTACAGAGGTTTAATTTATATTAAAGGTCAATAATAATAATAATTAATTATAATAATTATTATTATCAATAATCAAGTATCAATTATTAGTATTATCACAGAATTTTAAATGGGATAGAAAAGATAAATCCAGAATGAGACTTTAGGATGCAGCAGGCCAGTAATTATAAGAATCCTTGCATTTGACATAGCGTCTTATCACGCCTCAAAGCCTCTCCACAGAATATACTGTAAAGTGAATTGACTGTGTATTTTGTGGGCAAAACGCAGCAGCCAATTGCGCACAGCAGCGTCCCCACAAACAGTGGTGGATCGACTGACCAAACTGACTGGGAGAAGAAGGCAGTTATAGGTTATAGGGTTATAGGTTTAGAGATTGCAAAGGGCAAAATGTCTCAGATGCTGAAAATGAGGGGGTTTGCAAAGGTTTTGTTCAGAGAAAAACCTTTCAGGTTCACAAGGTTCAGGATAGACACAAGGGGCTCAACACGGGCAAAGTCAACTCATTTAAAGAGCAGCTTGACGTGCGATGTGAGGACAACACCACCAAAATTACATTTGTATCACCTCTTTCACGTCGGGAAGACTTCCCAACGTGCTGGACGTGTGGGGGTTCTGGAAGGAAGGATTCAGATTGGCCGAGGGGACTTCTTTATCCCAATTAATCTTTATGATCGTCTCTTCTATGTTTAATAAGTTTTACCATTTTGCGTGTGGGAAAGCAGTAAAGTTTATCACGGTTTATCACATGAAGCAAACGGGTTAGCAAAGGTTTCACTACGAGAACATTTTTCCAGGGTCACTGGTCGCACTCTTCAGTTTTAAGCAGTCATCTTCACATGTGGTAACAGCGCCTTTCACGTCGGGAGGATACCTCAAAGCGCTTCCCAGGATTTACTGCAAAGTCTAGTGACTGTTGATTCTGTACACAAATGCCTACGAAGCCACGTAATTAAAAAAAAACTGCTTATTCGAATGAAAGCAAAGAACTATTGGTAAATTAATTCAACTTCAGGACCCTAACGACTGCTTTGTTCCTGAAAACACTTGCTCTTATTAAGACCTATCTTTTTTGACCGGACGTTCGGTTGGATCTGAGGATCTGAGGACCACCCTTCACAGATCCTCCCCTCCCTCCCCCCTCCCACCGCATTTCCGTTCTACATCACTCTCTCTTTAAATTGGCATCGAAAACCTCCGCCTATACACCATTTTCCTTGACTGCACAGGAGTAACCTGATCACGTAGGCATCGCGTTTGGAAAAGCTTGCAGGTTTTATTTTTTTCCTGGAGATTGTCAGTGCGTAAGGGACTCGAAAAGAATGATGATCTTTAAGATTTAATTTGCCTCGCAGATGAAAGGCTCAGCTGAAGTTCCCCACCCCCCCCGCCTTGTCAGAAACAGCTGCAGTGAACAGAGGCTGCTCTCCAGAGTAAGAACGTGTTGAATTATAAATGACAGTGCTTCGCAGTTCATTGTGAGGGTTTGTCCAAAGAGAATACTGGGCTGCTGAACATCACAATGCTTGTTTGCTTTTGGAGCAAGTTCCTTCGAGATGTTTTATTTCAAAGCGCACCATCCATCAATAATATATAACAACAAAGTTATTGCGTTTGATAAAGCGCCTTTCATGTCGGGAGGACGTCTCAAAGCGCTTCACGGGATTCGCTGTAAAGTGCAGTGACTGTGTGGTTTCGGGGCTGGAATTGTGAATCCCTTTGACAAAATAATAATAATAATAATAATAATCCTTGCATTTGATACAGCGCTTTTCACGTCTTCTAATTGACTGTATATTAGTGGGCGAAACACAATTTACAAAAGACTGCAAAATGCAACTGACTGACATTATACCGAACATTCTCTGCGTGGTGGAGTTTGGTATGATCTGCGTGGCAATTCTCCGGTTAATGGAAGAAACCCCCACCCCGGCTCCCTCCACCCCCACCCCCACCACCTTCCCCACCACCCCACTCACGACAGCTTCTCCCTGCAGAAACACCATTCGAAACGACCGCAATTTAGAAGCCAAGCTGAGGATTACTCCCAACGCTGCAGCCGAGCTCAGGATGGAATAGAGCTGGTCGGTCAACTAATGGTTTGACTTTGCAGCTTGACTCACAAAGTGATGCAAACGCTCACCTGTCATTGTAACACCTTCCCATTGTACATCTAACCTGATTACTCAAGCCCCGAACTTGCCAACCACTTCACTTGGATTCCTCCTCATTTTGGTGCCAACGTGAAAATTGCTCTTGGAAATCGACGCCAGACAGTGAGGCTCCTCCGCAAAAGATTACGTTATGTGGACCGTTAAACAACGCCGGAAATAATCGAAGTATTCCAATCTAATAATAATAATTTGGTCACTCAATCCACGACCGTTTGTGGGACGACACTGTGCGCAATTGGCTGCCGCGTTTCGGCCACAAAACACACGCTCACTAGACTTTACAGTAGATTCCGTGAAGCGCTTTGAGACGTCTCCGCGACGTGATAAAGCGCTGTAACAAATGCAAGGATTATTATTCTTATTATTCTTGTTATTCTTGCAGGGCTGTAGAAAGAAATGAGTTATTAAGTCTGAAACCTGAGAACGAGGCCACACCGCCAACTGAAAGAAAAGAACATCATGTAAGTGTGGTCCAGAAGGAGACACAGAAGGGAGATTTTGTTTACAATGGTGTAGAAATTACGGTGTAAAGTAATTGCCACAAGGTTTTGTGGAGCTGTTTGAGGTCGGAACTATTGCTGATGGCATTTGGCAGGAGAAATACCGCAGCTTTTATCTTAGAAATGAAAATGTTCCATCTAAACGAGAGCTGGAATAGCTTTCAGATCGTTCTGGGATCTGGTGATAGGGTCGAGGTTTTAGCAGAGGTTTTCCAGATGTGTGGTTTTTTTTCAGACAGGAGTCAGCGCCAGGTTATTAACGCAAAGGCAAGGCAATGAAGCAGAGAGGGCAAATTCCTATTTTCTGGAAGGAATATCAATTCCGTGAATTCCAGACGCTTTCAATAAGCAAAGTAGCACAACAGGCAACAACGGGTGATCAGAAAATACCACTGAGATCTTTTTGTCTGATATCAAAATTCAAATAAATATATTGTATACATCATATATATATAATAAAATAAATGATCCTACACTCACCTCTCACACCACTCAATTGAATTCTCCCCCAAATAGCTTTCTGGTTCTCCCTTGAATTCCACAATACAAAATCCTCCCAAATAACTCGCATTCACTGTTCCGCCAACACCAATTCTGTTCACAGATCGGTTCGGATGACGAAACTCCCTTCGGCCCATTTGACCTCAACCTTCCAGAACGCCCACCCTCTAACTGTTCTGCCATCACCAGTGCCCAGCTGTTTTGCTTTTAAATGAGTCCCAGTGTCCTGGCCTCCAACCACCCTTACGGGCACCTTGTAAGCTTAAGCTTGGTGATGGGGTTTCTGCGTGTGTCAGACCTGGCTGACCCAAAAAAAAAAGAACCCAATAAAGTCAGAGAAACATACATGACATTCTTGGAATTCTGATTTGAGCACTGCTGATACCGTCTCCTCCGTCGCTAAATGTCTTCACCTCGATGATATAGTCCTCATCATCAGGGAGAGTGAGCTCCACAGACGTGTTGTTGGTTTCTATCACTTGTGTGCTGCTCTGTCTGTTCTTTCTGTATAAAACCTGCGAGGGAAGGAAAGAAGGAAGAGAATACAAGAGTCATTTGCCAGTCTCCATATCCGCCAGTGAGTACACGTGGCTGACACCGCCTGATCTTTTGCCTTTTATTCTTCAAGGTTTTACGTCGTAACAGCATCAGGTGTTTCAGATGTTTCGCCCGAAGTTTCTGGTCGTCCCAGAGAGGGCAAAAGTACAGCTAGAATGTGTCAGCGCAGAAGGGAGGTTGAGGCCAGGGCATTGGACTCATTTAACTTTGGTGCTGTCAATGGGGTGACAGTGAGGGGGTTTGTACTCTGGGAAGAAGGACGAAGGCATCATAGTGCAGACTGTAATGTGAGTCGGTGAATTGCCAGCATGTACGGAGCAATTTGCAGCACAGAAGACCGTTTGGCCCATCGTGTCTGCGCTGGCAATCCGTTCAGCTTGCGTGCTGAAACACGCTGAAGAGTACACACTTTTAAGACAAAAATCAGCATCGATGGGAATCAGAACAATCCCAATCCCCTGAATCAGTGGCTTGTGGTTCTTGTGTTCCAGTAACTTGCCTTTGTTTGTGTGATTGCCGCTCAGTTTGAACTCAGTGGTGCAGAGTGGGAAAAGGTTGGCTAGATTTGGACCCGAGAGGAGACATCAAAGGACAGTCTAACATTTCTCTGTTCAGAACTAAACAGAGTCAGCGTCACAAACCAGTGGCAGAGCTCTCAATCATTAAAAACTCAAGACGCGCTGTGAGCACTTGTGATCACCTGAGATAGCCGTGTGAAGCGGTTAAACGCTCTGCAGCGCACTTGCGTGGATGGATCTCAAAATTGCATCTCTCTCTCTCCCTCCCTCTCTCCCTTCCCCGTCTCCCTTTCTCCGAATGGCCTCGAGGCTTAAAATAACGTAAGCTGTGTGTGCGCGTGCAAACAAATGCACTTTGCAGAGCGAGAGAGAGAGAGAGAGAGGGAGAGAGAGAGAGGAGTTTGTGAAGTGTTCAAAACACATCAAAGCGGAAAAGATCACTCGTGGTCAGTAAGGTGTTTGCGATTTCCGAAGGATTTTGTTTCAGCTGGGATTGTGTTTGAAAGCAACTGAGTCTAATCCATTGCCCAGGAGATGAGTTTAGTGTGGCTTGCACCGTACGAGTGACTGTTTGATCTGTGGCTTTGGGGAAGTTTCAATTGCTTTTTAGCTCGCGAGGATTCTTACTTACTTTGTATCCTGTCACCTCAGATTCATTTTCCATTGCCTTGACGTGTTCCCAGTTTAAAACCACCCTGGAACTGGCCGATTCCCACCAAATCTTCCCAGGTGCTTGGCTTGGTGCTGCAAGACACAATAGCAATGATCGCCCCTCATCATCACATCGTCACGACGTCTCAAAGCACTTCGCAGGATTTGTGCGAGCTGACAGAAGTGACCTGACTGCGTATTGATAACTATAATAATCCTTGCGTTTGATACAGCGCCTTATCACGTCTTCGAGACGTCTCAAAGCGCTTCGCAGAACATACTGCAAAGTGTAGTGGCTGTATATTTCGTGGAGCCTTGCCTGTGAGTGTAACTTACGTGGTTTCTTGGTTGTAATATTAATAGGAGCGCTGGCAGGTCCGGTTCCCGCACTGCTGTAGGCTTTAACGATGATGTTGTACAGAGTGCTGCCTTTCAGGCCTGGGACCTTTGCTGATGTGTTGTTTCCGTCTGATCTGAATTTATCCGCCGTCTCTTCGCTCTCGTCGTCTGTCCAGTACTGTATCTTGGGACGCAACGCAAAGAGAGCAGATTCGATAGTATCTTTCACGGGGGAATTGGACGGGTAACTTGGAAAGGGAACACGGGCAGGTAAGAGCAGGGGAGTGGGGCGAATTGGATAGCTCTGGCAAAAAGACCTCTGAGTTTCTCAGCGTCGTTAATCTCTCAATTTTAATTTCTAATGATAATTATAATAATAACCCTTGCATGTAATATAGCGACTTATTACGCCTTCGAGATGTCTCAAAGCGCCTCACAGAATTCACTGTAAAATGTAGTGACTGTGCATTTGCGGGCGAAAGGCGGCAGCCGATTGGGCACGGTCGGGTCCCACAAACAGCCCCGCAGGCTAAGAGAAAGAGTGAGAGAGACAGACTGAGAGAGAGGGAGACGGAGAGAGATTTGGTATAATTTTATAAATTTGGGTGTAAGATCCCTTCAACACTTTAGCACCTTCCCCCCACCGTCTTGTCTCCTCCCACCCCACTCTCCTGCTTGCCCCTTCCGCTCAGGCGAGTTGCGTGTGTCCCCTCCCATCCTTTCAGCAGCCAAGCTTTCAGATCCGCTCGAGCTGTCATTGACGCTTACGATAACAAGCCCCGCATTTTGTAAAGCGCCTGTGACGAGGTGGAATGTTTGACAGGTAGCAGCTGAAAACAGTGAACGACTTCCAAATGACATGACATTTTTTTTTGCAAATATCAGCGGTGTGACAAGGACTCTATTCGACCTTCGGACTCGATTCCAAGCAGCATTTCCCTTACCTCGTAACCTCGCACCTTTCCCTTGTTCGATTCCCAAGGCACAGCTTCCCACAGCACCTCTATCTCCGAAGCGGACAGACTTCTGGCCGAGACGTTGAATGGCGCGACACTTGGCTCTGAATCACAAGGAGAAGCACTTTCACCCTGTGCATGTAAGTACGATAATAGCGACTCTCTTCCCTTTCCAGGCCGTGCCATGGGATGTTTAGCAGAGTCACGCGAGGAAGGCTCTGTTGCGTGTGAGCTTGGTACAGGAGCTGCTGGCATCAAGGCTAGCGTGACTGCAGCGGTGGCAACTTTTGCCCTGAAGAGGAGCGTGTGAAAATGTCCTCCTGGCAACCTGCCGTGGTCGATGGCGTTGGTATTTAAATACATGCGTGTCCATCGGCCCGTCACTCCAGTGAATGTTAGAAACAGCCGAGGGCCATCCCTCCCTCCCAATACTACACAACTCATTAGATTCAATTCACTCGGTGGAAGAGGGCATAAATCTCCCTCAGGAGTTCCTGTCCCATTGAAGGACAAACAACAACCTACCAATGTTTTTCGAGTATAAAGACTGGGTCATAATGCACCCAGTCCATATAACTGTTGCCAACAGATCTCGTGTTCAGCACCATTGGGGAATGGTTCAGCAGCACTTGTTACAAAGACTTTTGTGTTCGTTTTCTCATATTCCTGTCTCCAAACAAATTGCATCACTGAGGAAAGTGCTAACAAGACACCAGAGGGCCCGAGAGTTCTCATATTCTTTGCTTTAGGATCATGAATAATATTAATAATAATTAAGGAGAATAGTTATAAAATAATCATCATCCTTGCATTTGAAGTAATGCTTAATCACATCGTCACGGTGTCTCCAAGTGCTTTGCAGGATTTAAGTGTAGAGTCCGTGGATTTTGGAGAAGAATTTGGCAGCCAGTTTGCGCACAGCAACGTCCCCACATAGAGATCCCTTTGCCTTAAAGTTTAAATAAGATAAACGTTTTATAATAATAATAATAATCCTCGCATTTGATATAGCGCCTTATCATGTTGTTTTAAGACGTCTCAAAGCGCTTCGCAGGATATTTGGGGGATTGATGGCCAGGACCAAAGTTGGGGGAGAGAAATCCTGAGTGGTTTAAATCGCTTAGTTAATTGGCGCGGAGTCTGATTCCTCACTTACCCTCCTCAGCGGAAAACACTGTGATGACGGGGCTGTAGGGACCCTCTCCTTTGTTATTGTAAACGCCCACTTTCACTTCGTAGGGAGAGAAAGGAGCCACACTTTCGTTCCGGAAGACGTACTTCGAAGTGTCCGCGGACGTGACGGCCGCTTTCATCCAACTGGTAGTCGCCAGGGGCCGAAAGGCAACCACGTAGCCAAAGCCCTCTCCGTTCTGCAGCTCCTCAGGCACTGGCTGGAGGCGAGAAAACACGGCTCAGCTCAATCGTTCCCCAACAAGCGCCAATCCCCTCTGATCTGCTGCCAGTCTACTGTCGAGCATATAGTTACACGGAGTTGATACAGCGCAGAAACAGCCCATTCGTCCCAACTAGTCTGCCCCGGGGTTTACACTCCACATCACTGTCCCTCCAATACCCCACTATTCCCTTCACCCTCATATACGCAATCGCACCTCCACCACCAACAACAACTTACATTGACACAGCGCCTTTCCCGTCAGGAGGACGTCCCAAGGCGCTGGACAGTCAGGGATCCGCACCCGAGCTAGTGGTTGGGATCAGGAGGGGTTGGATGGAGGGTGGGGAGGGTGGAGGTAGGAAGGTGACTGAAGGCACAGTTGAAGAGGAGGGTCTTGAGACGGGTCATCAAGGAGGCGAGGGAGGGGGCGAGGCAGACGGACTGTGGGATGGAGTTCCAGAGGGTGGGGGGCAGAGAGGCTAAAATCTCGCCCCCCCCCCGCCCGCCCACACATCACATCCCACCTCACTTTCAACCACGTTTTCTGTTAGCGGCGTTTTCTGTTTCTAGATGGAGAGCAGAAACTCGTCATCTCAAACCAGTGGTTCAAGATTAGTGGTGTTATTCCTGGATCTTCACATCACCATAACCATGGGAGCATCGCGTCCAAGGTAATATAGAGAAGTGCTTCACAAGCGAAGGCTCCCTTAATATTTAACGGCGTGTAATTTGAAGCAGCACTTATTGTAACTGATCCCAATCCAATTTCGGACATAATTGCGAGGGAGATTATTTGTGCTTGCAATTTCAAATCGATTCATTTAATGCCCCGGACTTGGCTTTCTGCCTCATTGCTGTAGGCGCACAGTCGATGGCGGGGGCGTGGGGTAGGGGGGCTGAGAGGAGGAGAGGGTTGGTGAGCAGAAATGTACACGAATGCACACACACACGCACTCACACACCACAGATACACACACACACACACAGACAAATCACACACACCACACACACAAACGCCATGCATACATACACAGACAAATCACACACACACGCACTCACACACCACACCACAGATACAAACACACACACACACACATCACAGAAACACACACACACACAGACAAATCACACACACACACACCACAGACAAATCACACACACACACACACACAGACAAATCACACACACACACATTACAGATACACACACACACACAGACACACACAAAGCTCCTCTGAAGCATGAGAATGGAAAGACAGGTCAGGTTTGCATGTTGGGGTCTCTGCACACTATTAATGAAGTAAACCCAGGATTAGGAGGTACGATTGTGTGCAGTTTGGTTGCACGTGTACCTCCATAACTCAGTCTTGAGAGAAGACGGTCTCGGAGGGAGAAACCTTATAGAAGCGCAACATTTTAAATATATTTTAAATGGGATTGAATAAGTAAACTTATAATAATAATAATAACCAAGACAATAGAACAAGAGGGGCATAGGTTTAAAGCCGCAAAGGTCAGCTTTAGGACAGATACCAGGAAGGTTTTCTTTACCCAGCAGGTAATTAACGACTGAAACAGGTTGCCAGGAAAGATGGTTGAAGCCAGCACGCTGGGACTCATTTAAAAAAAAACAGCTTGATGCTGTGATGGGAGGACAGGAAGAGATAAGATAGTCTGGAGGGATCTTCTTCATCCGAACTGATCTTGTCATCTGGCGAATTTGAAATCTCCAGCGGTGTGTGTGTGTGTGTGTGTGTGTGCGTAACCTCATAATCAGTCTGGCGACCATTTTCCTGCGGCAGCTATTTAGCTCTGCTTATCTCGTGTCGTGTATCCTTTCCTGCACAATTCCAGTGCTGCATTCAACTTACCTCCCATGATATTACCAGTTCAGACCGACTGCCACCTCCCCCACTGACGTTAGCAGGTCCCATCTTAGGAACTGCAAAGAAAGGAGAGAGTTACAAGCCACGGGTTCCCTTGAAACCTTGACACAGAAACCACTCGTGCAATCCATTCCCGATTTAACACAATGTACCCAGCTACGCAGTGTTCTCAGATGGCGTGAAGGAGTGATAAGATCTGGGCACTTCATGTAAAATTCATAACTTTTGAATAGCCCGAAAGAATTTCTGCGCTTGTTTTATCCTCAAATCCCCAATATCTTTTGTTTCCATTGAGAATGTGGGTGGTGGGGAAGGACATTTGACAGGACAACTGATTATATAAACAATATTTTCAGGTCTAAAATGTTACAACACAAATTGGTTTTCTTTTGGAGAATGAAACTAAGTGCTTACAGGGTTTGGAAACAAATGAGTGGTTTTGCAATGCGGATTAAACGTGCTTAAATCAGTTATAAGTGACTTGCGCTATTAACTCATTCCCTTAATCCACTCTCACTGTTTTCTTATTAAATAAGCATTAGAATAAAGTCCTGGCCAACAATCCCCCAAGATAAAATCCACTTCAAGGCTGTATTCGGGGGCATTTTCCGTGCACCAATTGACTGCTACATCCACCCGCCCTCGAAATGTGCACAGTTTCATTTTTAATTGAAGCTTTCTTTAAACGTCGGGTCCCGAGTTTGGAATAATTGAAGTGTAGCGATCCTTTATGCAAGAAAACTAGTTTGAAGTCTGTATTAAAATGGCTCCAGGATTAAAATTCAATTTGGCTCATGTGCTGAACATGAACATGTGCTGTACCTCTGTAAATGATCACGATTTAACTCTTCAATAAACCCACATCCCTCACAAGCTCCACAGCCACGTCTCCATGACTGTTTGTGATACAAGAGCCAGACACCCCACCCAGACGTGCCCAGCCACACTTCAAAGCTTTTGCTGCCAATGCACTGAACGCATTCACATGTACTTAGTGGTTAGAGCGCTCGCCTCGCAAGCGAGAGGACCTGGGTTCGATTCCTGGGGCGAGTCGAAACCTTGGAGCAAGTTTCCTTACTCCACACGTCTCTGTTTACCAAGCAGTAACTTGGAACCCGGCCGTTAGTCAATTGGCAGATCGCTTTCCGGGGGTAATAAGCCCTCCAAAAAGAAAATGATAATAGTAATTTGGTCACTTGATCCACCACTGTTTGTGGGACGCTGCTGTGTGCAATTGGCTGCCGCGTTTCGCCCACAAAATACACAGTCAAGTCAAATTACAATATATTCTGCGAAGCTCTTTGAGACATCTCAATAACGGGATAAGGCGCTATATCAAATGTAAGGATTATTATTATTACTTAAAATGCCCTATTTCTGACCAAACGCATTATCAGAAACTCGCACTATTCATTCCGTGGACTCCTCTTTTGCACTTACTACATTTATTCATCGAGGTGAACGTGAGTAAATGCGGTAACCACTGGAATACTTCACTGAGTGGGTGGACGTGTAACACGGAAACCCTGTCTACAGTGTTACTGTACGACTTTGCCTCAAGAGTATCGTAAACAGTCAAAGGGCACACACTACTCCTGGGATTTTTGCAGATGTGGGAGGGTGTCTTTTCTGAGTTGTGTTTTTTGTGCAGTAATTGTCGACAAGGCAATATTTATGAATCGTTGCTTTGAACGTTCATTCTGTTACTGCAAATGTGCTATTGATGGCTATTGACTCACCCACCAGCCCTCCGCTGCAGCAGCTGATAGTAAACCGACTCACAGGAGTCACCCGGCTCTATTTGTTACCACATATAGGCAAAGCTCACACTATTTCTCCTAACAGTCTATTAGGTACAATACACTTTGGCCATTAAAGATGCCAAAGTTATTCCCACAGCTATTTCTAGAGGAATGACTTTATCCATGAACAGACATTGAACAGAAACTTGCAGACATCATTCTTGAGAGATAACAATACTTTGGGTGGAAAATGTAATGTTTGGTTGTTGAGCAATTGTCAGATCAGACATTAAAGCAACGATCAGACAAACTGGGAGCTCTTCAGTCTTGAATAATAGCTAATAATAACCCTTGCATTTGATACAGCGCCTTATCATGTTTTCGAGAGGTCTCAAAGTGCTTCACAGTATATGGTGTAAAGTGAATTGACTGTATATTTTGCTAGGTAAACAGAGGTGTGAGGAGTAAGGAAACTTGCCCAAGGTTTCGCCCTGCCAAGAATTAAACCCGGGGCTTATGTTATTATGTGAGGCAAATGCTTTAACCACTGAGCTGCAGGATCTCACAAGAAGGGACCTTATGGAAGTACATCAGTGGGTTGAGAAACCCAGAACAATACTTTGGATGTACTGAAACTGCTGAATGAGTGAATACTAATTTAGGGTTGCCAAGAGCAATTTCTGTAAAGACACCGGGAAGTATTTCTTTACCAAGAGCGTAATTAACAACTGGAACTGGTGACTGGGTAGCTGATCGCCACGATGCTGGGAGTCATTTCAAAAAAAGCTCGAGGATGTGATAGGAAGACTTCAGGGTGGGTTTTCTGGGAGGATGAGATCAAAAGAACCTTCTTGGATCTGAAAGTCTCTTGTGATCTTGCCCGATTCTGCACATATTTTCTCAACCCAAAGTGCTGATGTTGAACTTCTTTTTGCTCCAGGTACAATGTTAACTATAAAGATCAAATAAAATCACTATTTCTCCAGTGGAAACTTTCATACACAAAGCCTCATCGTAACAAATATTTACTCAAGTGCAAGTGTTTCACACTTTCGGTAATGTATCCTCAGACCACGAGCTTAATTACTCAAACTGCTGTGAAAACAGCATGAAAATTAAACCCTTTAATTAAATCTCTCAGTCGTGATAAACCCATAAAATGGTTTATCTTTCCAATGCTGAATAACTTAAAACATTCTCTGTGGAAATGTTGCCACAGTCGAACTGCGCCGCTGTTGAGCAATCTCAGACGCTTCCCTGTTGAAGGACGCTATATAAATGCAAGTTGTCGTGGTTGGTGGTTTTATCTCCACCCGCACTCCGCCCCCTTATTTTGCTTCCATTCGTCAGCTGTGCGAAGCGCTTTGAGACGTCCTTCTGATGTGAAAGATGCTGTGTGACTAGAAACCGCTGCTGTTGTCTCTGACCATCTCAGTCCTGGCAACGGGCTTGGTGCAATGAACACGTTAAAAACCTTTGTCATTTAAAAAAGAAGGACACCGTCTGGAATTAATTTGAAAAGTTTGGCATCGCAGAAATACAGCAGCAAAAACCCAAGAGCAAAGACGTGCAGAGGTCTGCCGATTGAGCCACCGCATTATAATCGTAGCCGAAAAGCATCTGCAAAGCAGTCATCCTGTCGCCAGTCTTCAGCAGTTTAAACACAGGACCTACTTATGCAGCGTAATGAATTTCTGCCTTCCCCACTGATGACGGACATCCTTGTAAATTCTGCAATCGGAACGCTGTTAAATTTGAGAATACTGGTATCGTTTTCAGCCACTTTCCTCCTAATGAAAAACTGCCAGAAACGCCTGTTTGACTGCAGATGCTGATTTTGGCAAAGTATCAACAAAGGAATAGTACCAATTTGAAGCAATTGATCACCGGCTATCCAGTCTACTTCTAATTACTGCCGACTTCAAAGAACAGTCACTAGTGATTTTTTTATGGGGAGGTGGGGGTGGGGGGTTTGCCCTGTTCACTGCTATTATTAAATCCGTTCCGAAGTTTTCAAGACGTTTAAGTTATTTCCTGATCTTCCTTAAACTTTCTGGTTCCTCGATGGCGATCTCTCTGTTTAATATCGGCTGCTTATGATGTTTTAATCGATTGCTTCACAACTGTTTGTGGGACGTTTCTGCGCGGAAATTGGCTCCCGCGTTTGCTTACGAATTACACGAGTCTCTGCTGTGACGCACTTTGAGATAAGTTTGGGCACGTCATATCAAATAATTATTATTATTATCATTATTATTAGTACAACAACAACTATTTTTTATAGAGCTATGTAGCCCACTGCCAAGCACTTGTTTTCAGCGCAATGCATAGAAACGAGCAAGAAAGAATCAAGGAGAACGATTCTATTGCAGGTTCAAAGCTGCAACACAACAAAATTAGATCTTTACAGCAGTTGATCCTTTAATGCTGTGAATTAAATCGTGCTCAGGAAATCTTCACATCCACGTAATCCGCGAATATAAAAATACGCTCCTGATAATCAGGTTGGCAACAGCGGATGTGTATTTAAAAGCGGTGTCATGGCAAAATAAGATGTTTATTTTTTCGCCAGCTCATATCTATCGAGTCTAAACAACACCCCCACCCCCCCATCCCCTCGCCCCACCCTGGGCTTCGACACAGAGTTGGCTTTGTCTGGAGATTTCAACCCCGTCACTCTTGGTGATGAAGCCACCAGCAGACCCCATTCACGTGGCATTCAATGGAATTCTTTGCGGGATTCCACCTGCTGCCCAGTGTCGAACCCGGCCAGACGTTTTAATAATAATAATACTAATCCTTGCATTTCATGTAGCGCCTTACTACGTCGCCGAGACAGCTCACAGCGCTTCGCAGAATGTACTGCAAAGGGCAGGGACTCTGTACTTTGTGGGCAAAACCCGGCAGCCACAGCAATGTCCTACAAACAGCCATGGAATCATAGAATCATAGAATTATACAGCACAGAAGGAGGCCATTCGGCCCATTGTGTCCATGTCGGCTCTTTTGAAAAGCACTGTCCAATTCAATCCCACTCCCCCGCTCCCTCCCCATAGCTCTGCAAACTTGTCCTCCCCAAAACGAGTGACCAAAATTTTATTTGGGGGATTTGTTGGCCGGGATACCGGGAGAGAGAAACTCCCGTCTGTTTTCGACTAGCGCTGCGGGATCTTTAACCCCCACCTGGACAGGCAGACGGGACCTCGGTTTAACATCTCATCTGAGGGACGGCTTTAATTTAATCTAATTCTACATTAGATCAGTTCCATTCAGACTGCACAATGAGTGGTTGTGCACTTACATTCCCGATCAGTGTTTCGGGGCTGGGGGGGGGTGGGGTGGCAGTGAATGTGGAAACCAACACCACGTTCATTTTGATTGCCTTGCCCATTAAAACTAGAATCTTTCCTGAACGCACTGGACTCCAAGTTGGTTCGGCGAGGGGTGTCCTCCTTCAAAAGGGTGAAGCAAGTGGAAATTTCCAGGGCAAAATGTGCTGAAACGTGCTTTCTCTTTTCTACGTGATCCTATCTGCTAAACCCAGACCACCCTGGAATGCCTGTTATCAGGAAATGGCTTGACAGCTTTCTCTTCACAGCCCTTACAGTTTATATAGCAGGAGCACACGGCAATAGGTCTGAATCTTGCATCTCTGGTTACTTTTGTTAAGGGTTCAAAGTTTTCAATGAAGTTGAAACTTATGCATGCTTGAAGGTCTGAAATTTTTCAACCCGTTGCCTCAAAATTGTACTCTCGGTGCAGATTTGTGGAAAATTCTTAAATCCAGCCTTGATTTGGAAGCCAGCTTTGAAAAAAAAGGCTTGTGTGAGGGGCGGGGGGAAACTTTGGAGGGAGGGAGTTCGAGAGAACTTCCGAATTAATTTTGCGGTGTTTCTTAGTGGATTTCATCATTAGGATGTCCATGTAGGGGGTTGCTGATGGTAGCTGGAAATGATTTTTTCAGTCCCATACGTTGAGAAACTTTTGGTTTTTACGTGAGGAGTGAACACGAAGAGAGGCGTTTTCAGTGATTGGACGTAGAGAAGACTATCGTCTCCTGGCAGAGGGATAGTCCCCACTTTGACTGTGGGAACGTGACTCCAAAAGTAGAATGAATTGGAGCTGCGTTCCACAAATCATTACCACTCTCGCCCAGATATCTCAATTAACAACAACTTGCATTTATATAGCGCTTTTCATGTGGGTTAGCGTCTCAGTACGAGGTCTTGTCTGCCTGTTCAGATAGAGGTTAAGGATCCCATGGCGTTATTCGAAAAGAGAAAGGAGCTGCTCCCAGTATCCTGGCCAACAATCCCACCGATAAAATTGGTCACTCACTTCATGGCTGTGTTTGAGGGACATTGCTGTGCGCAAACTGGCTGCCGTGTTTCGTGCCCAATATACATAGTCATAACCACTTTACAGTATATCCTGTGAAGCTCTTTGAGACGTCTCGACGAGGTGATAAGGCCCAATACCAAATGCAAGGATTATTATCATTATTATTATTGAGAAACACGGCAAAAATTGTTACTTTGTGCTGTTCTTGGTAATAATGAGTGGTCACTTACAGGACTCTTCTGTTCGTGATTTTTCCGATGGAAGGCTTGGCTCTCCGATGCCGATGCTGTTAGTAGCAACGACACGGAATTCATACTCCACCCAGGGGTTTAAGTTGATGACTGTGGCTCTCAAAGCATCTCCACCAATGACCTCGGGAACTGCAAGTACAAGCAGGAAATGTTAGTCCAGTTGCAAACGGGCCACAGACTTAGAATTGGAACAGACCGAAGCTTTTTCAACTCAGAGGCAAGTTTGCCTGTTCCCGGGATAGTATCTAATTGAAAGAACGAGTTACAAGATTTAACAAATCACTGATGGAAGCCTTGCAATGTGAAATTCACATGTTTGTCAGGACGGTGAACTCTGCTCTGATAAGTAATTACATTTACCAGCCGTATGTTTGGAGCAATTTACTCAATGCCAGTGATTTTAGGCAGTCCTGCGTGTTGGGGAGTAAAGCTCTTGGTGTGGTGTAAGGAGTGAGCGCAAATCACTGGTGTTTTTGATGATGGTACGTAGAGAAGACTATCATCTCTTAGCAGTGAGATTGTCAGAGTATCAAACTAAAACTGCCCAGTGGAGGAGATTCCCCCTCCCAAATATCGCAGTTGTTGGGACGAAAGAGGTCAAAGACGAGAGTAAATCCTGGTGCAGCTCTGACGTGATATATCAGCAACATCATAAAATACTTGCTGCAAGTCAATTCAGGCACCAAGGGCTTGTGCCAAAAAGCTATCACATTCCCTTATCACCACCGGTATGTGAAGCCTCAGCATTCACTGGTGGCCAAGCCTCTATCAAACGCTTATCGCCAGCTAACTCGGTGGAGAGCAATAATTGATAGCAAGATTTGTGTGGAAAAAATGCAACACAAGTCAGCACAAATACAAACACTTGTGAACATGGGGGAGAGTGAGGATCATGCTGGTTTGCTGCTGTTATGTATCAAACAATCCCTCTTTGCCTTTCTTGGCTTCGCTTTGGTCTGCGACCCTTTGAAGCTACTGAAAGGAAGATATGTTGCCATTTCGGTCATTTTAAAGGAATTTGGGTCATTTTCGAAGGAGTATTTCTCCAATTTTAAAAGAAAGTTGGGTTGAAAGTTGAAAGGATCTTGTGTGATCATAGGGGGGGTGGTTGGTGGGGGGCAATGCAGGCAGAATATGGGGCAACTCATACTTCAAAGATTTTTCAGCGAAAGTTTCGGAGGGAATGTTACAGTGAGAGATAGACACAACGGAATGGGCTTGTGAGTGCTTGTGAGCAAGGTTGTGAGCAGAGGAGCTGATATATCCTGTCATCTCTGCTTCAGGAATTATTCTCTCTTTTGTCCCAAAGACTGCAATGTTTGGGGGGGGAGGAAATCTCCTCCACTAGGCAGTTTTAGTATGAGACTCTGACAAGCTCAGGTGATAGATAGTCTTCTCTACGTCTCGTTTGGCAAACGTGAAAATCTGAGAAGGTGTGTTCCAAAAAACAGAAAGAAAAGTGCTTGAGTCTTGTCTCGTTGGCAAAACCCAAAATTAATTATAGGTAATACAGAGATAGTCCGAGACATATGTGTGTGCGACCGCCAGGAAGGTGGAAGGCGGAATAGATGGACCTTGGGACTTTTTTAGTCTAGCATTTCTTATTTTAATTATATCAGTTTGTTCGATGGGATCAGCCGTGCTGTTGCACTCACCTGCAGTCAGTGCTTGCCAACCCACTGAGAAGGGAGTACGGGCTTGCACTGTGTACATGGAGATAGGGCTGTGGTTATCAATACCAGAGCTCCAGGACAGTTCAGCTGTAGATTCTGTAATCTCTTCCACTATCACAACCCCTGGAGGACCAGGCGGCCCTAATTCAAAACACATAAGAAATCAGACCCCCGTATTATCAGACGGGCATTAATTCCATCAATGGGCTAAAAGCAAAGAAGGTTAGGGTTGAAAAACGCATGGCGATTGACAGCAGATTGCAGGAGACTCAAGGTCTCGGACAAGAAACAGCTGCTTAAGTTTCCTTCAGACAAAAGGGAAACAACTTTGAGCTGTGAGGACAATGTAGGGTAAGTCTAAACAGATGTGGGGGTGAGATGGCTTTTGATCTTGTGATAGACTTTTAAGAAAAAAAGATTATTTTTGCACAATAATGGATGTAAAATAACGACAATCAGATGTTTTGCTTCAAACTTGTCCCGAGTCGGTTACGTTTCTTGCTCAAGGTACATAAATCTTGTTGTTAGTACCACGCTACACACCATTAAACACCCGGGGGGAAGATTCTTGCCTCGCTGGGAAGTTGAAAGGACTGTATCTGATCACGGGCAGAGAGCAAAGAGGCAATCTCACACTTTAAAGGTCTCTCAATTCTTCGCCCACAATCTCTCAAGTGGCTCGGGTCTGTTACCTAAAACACGCAATGCTATTCGAAAAGGTAATGGAGTTCTTCTCCTGGTGTCCTGGCCAACAATTCCTCCCAAATAAAAGTGCGTTGGCTGTGTATCTGTAGGTGAAAGTGCCAGCCAATTTGCACATGGCACCATCCCACTCCACTAACTAGCCATCACTAGCCATGAGTGATTTTATTTGGGGAGATTATTCAGAATTATCATGTCCACAAAATCGAGCGCATGCAAACTTCATTCATCAGTCTCTCTCTCTCTCTCTCTCTCTCTATCTCTCGTTCGTTCACTCGTTTTTACCATCAATCTTTCCAAAGTAAACTATTCTCTGTTTCTGGGACTTGCACGTCTGTGTTGAAGACCAGAACACATTCCAACTGTACTTGTGCAGCGATCTGGGTTGCAATAAATTCCAAAATCTGCCAACTGCAAACCGCAACAGCGTGCCATAAATTGGAAACGACAGCACGGAACTTGGGCTCCGTTCCATTGAGTGATGAGCAAAATTAAACGCGACTGTATCAGATTGGGCATCTCCAAAAATAAAATGATGTCAACATGTAATAAACCAACAGAGACAAACACAACACCACATCTAGCCTGGGTTTTCCACGGTTTTCCCTCAATTGCCACCCAGTCTGGTCGACGCTGTCTATTTCAGTGGGTGGATGTGCACACTGTCATTGAGGTTGGTGAGACGTAGACAGGAAAAACAGTGGATAGACAGTTGGGATTATTACTTGATTTCTGGCATAGAATGAATGAAAATTACACAGTATATTCCCATCCTGGAATCCACTGCTGATGAGTAGGCTGCAGGAGTGGGGATGGGGTGAGGGGTTGGGAGGGAATGGAAATAGGATGGGGTGAGTGGGGGAACAAGGGAGGGTATAAGGGTTGGGTGGGGAGGGTGGAATCAGGAGTTTACGAGTGGAAAACCCCTAAGCAAAGTTGGGGAGAGGAGCATGTTTAATAGGAATAACCTGTTTCTGACCAATATACAGTAGTATATACTGGTGTACATTGGTTCAGTTTATGGCTGCTTGTGCGACATTGCCTGCGCACAAATTGGCTGCCGTGTTCGGCCACCGCACACACAGTCACTCCACTTTATCGCTTGGAAACGTATCACAACCGAGGGACGAAATCCAAACGTAAAACTCAGCGCCACCATGACCACGACAACTTGGGTTGACATAGCGCTCCTCACGCAGAGAGCTTGAAAGTCGGGCAACGTCTCCTCAGTGTACTGCCATAAGGAGGTTTCCACACCACGAAACGGGTCAGAGATGTGGTGCTTGAATCACAAAATCCTGGCACTGCATTGCATAGTAAGCGATCACTCATGTGTGAAGCAAGATGCATTTGCTCAAAAACTTGGGCTCAATCTCTTACCCATCGGCTATAATATGGATTCAAACTGGGTGTTCAAGGGGAAGATTAGAATAATGCAAACCACAAAGAATGCGTCACAAAGTCGGACGAAAGCAAATATGAAAATGGGCCCATTTTCCGTGCCTTATAAAACAAGGCCCCCCCAAAGGCTTACCCTTCTCAGCAGCTTTCACCGTGACTCATCTACTGCTTTGAGTGCAATCGTGTTCAGACACGTGCAGTTCTCTTCTGGTGCTTGGTAAGGAGAAGTAACAGCGCCCGGTGAGGGGCGAGGGTGGAGTTGGGAGTAGAGGGAGAACCTCAGGGTGTGTTGGGGGAACTGGTGGAATATAACCATCTAAAATCGCACAGCTTGCCATTATGAGCACCGCCTGGCAAACTTCCTGCTGCTTGTCCAGCTAGGACCATTCTCTCCGTTAGGGCTTTGGCTCTCTAGAACCGAACGATGATCCTAACAGCTGAGATGAGCGTCAATGGTCACGAAAGGCGCTATGCAAATGTCGTTTTATTGATGTTGCTGTTGTTGTTGGGCTGTAAGAGTTAAAGCCAAGTCAGCTGTATTCAGTGAGGTTATTGTACAATCTATATTCCAAAATAAGCTGCAAACACGGCCTCCAGAGAATGGAAAAACATCAATGCAGTGGAAAAACATCAATGCAGATATTTAGAATGTCCCCGAAGTAATGTGATGTTGCCAAGACGTTTTATGGATTTTTTATGAGAATCTCAGTAAAGTCCACTTCATCACCATATTCAAAAACAAGATTCTTTCAGCAATTCAAAACCCCAAAGCTTTGTATCCGAGTAAAGCTCTTTTATACGCCTTTTCGTTGGACCCTGGGTACGATACAGTACATCACACACTCAGCCGCAATTATCAAGCTAAACTCTCACCCAAGTGCCTTCTTTGTAAAGGAGCAGTTTTTAGTTATGTGTCAGACGTTCGGCCATTAATCATCCATCATTCGGTTGTGTAAGAGGTTTCAGATGGGGCCAGATTGCCATATCAGACACGATTCCGTCAACACTGAGATTATCCGCTCACATGTTTAAGGTATTATCCTGCTATTCACCTTACACTATTACAAGGGAATCAGTGAAACAGTATGACAATAGTCTATCCCTTCCTAAGTGCATAGTGTACACTCCTTTGAAACATATTCCATTTCAAAAGCCAAATTTTCGACGTTCGTTGTCCTGCGCTCACAGTTAATTGCGGTTTTAATTTAAGTGTCACTTAATTTAGTCGTTACTCATACCTCTGACAAGATTTCTTTTTTGTTTCTCCTGGAAGCAAACACCAAACTGTTCCTGGAACATTGCCATGCACAAATTGGTTCGCCTTAGTTATTACACTTTGCAGTGTATCCGATGAAGCGCTTTGAAACACCCTCCCGACGTGAAAGGTGTCATATCAAAAGCAAGGATTACTAATATTATTATTACTATAAATCATGCTTTGCGTTTGCAAAATATAACAGAATCTGGAAGCCATCATCTGGGTAATAAAGAGAGATACATAAATCACTCATAAGCCAATCTTTAAGCTTTACTTCTCTCTTCGGGATAATATTGTTTAATCGTTTAACACTTAGCTTTTCCCCAAGCAATATAAAGATCTCCATATGGATCCTTTTACACAGTGGGTCGGAGACGTGAGTGATTCTTGCTATAAGGAGCTCTTACGCTGGTGTTTGCTGTTGAAGGCACCAAAAATACCAAGCGAGACACAGGCTGTGAGAGGGATTAACGTGTAAGTGGGAGATTGTTAGTGAGGATTGGCAGAAGGGATGAAGTGGAGCCTGAGAGAAACTGGGGGACAGATTGGGGAGTGAAGATGTTTCACGTAGGGAAAGAAATATTGCAAGGAGACACAGTACTGTATCCCTACAACTCTCTCCCGAAGTCTCTCCACATTGACCACTCCCTCTCTGCTTTCAATTCCTATTTAACAACCACCCCTGCACCCTGTTATTGCCTCACGTGAAATGCTTAGAGACATCTTCTTACATGAGAGACCCTGTAAAAGTGCACGTTCTTGTAGGATGTCATCATGATAGCATGAACTGCTTTGGCCGGGAGGCTATTCCATATATAGTCCATTCTGCAGTTGGTGGGAGTGGGAGACGCACGTTTCTTTCCACAATTGGCTTGCTTTGCAGCTTCGCGCTCTGAATCCCAAATCTGTCCGCAGCTGAACTCGGCAAGTAAATTACACCCACCGGATCAGACTGATCCATTCATTCAGTTCCCAGCTTAAGTAGGTTTGTGAGTTATAAACCATGGTTTCCAAACACTCCTTCTGACGTTCACAATTTGGAGAAGGACATTGATACAATCCCATAAAATATCCCCAATCAGATCCCAAATGCAATGTTATACAGACAGCTCCATAACGCTCCAATTTATACTGCACCTCTTCTTTCAATATTGGACACGACATTCACTGATGTCGAATACTCAGGCAGGTTTTTAACGGAGCTACTCAAACATTAATCAGCCTCTATTTTAGTTCCTTATCGATACAGTCACTGCAGCTTACAGTAATTCCTCTGCAGTGCTTTGAGATGTTTCGACAATGTGATGAGTTGCTGTGTTTAAATGTAAGGATTATTAGTTTCCTTTCCGATTTATTCTGGTTCAACCAAAGTTGCCACGCCACGCAAGCACAAGTTGTTTCGTTCTTGTCGTTGTGATCGCTGCTGTCGCTCACTGAGAAAGATAGCATGGATTCTTCTGAGAGGAGAAATAAAAGGGAAATAAATCCACGGGGTGGTTAAAGATTCATTACTAATTTCACAAACGATTATTTGGAGTCCTCTGATCAAAGGCGAGTGCCCGACTTCAGAAAAAAAATGTCATGACCGCAGTGCACTTGAGAATAGATGTTTTCTATAATGAGGTTGCTTTCTGCACACATTTCTCGACTGCCTGCTAACCATATTACCTAATTAGCCCGGCTTTTAACATAGAGCTTCCTGTTTGTGGGCTATTGAAGCCTTTTTTTGAAAAGAACCAAGCATTCTGTGGATATTACTTTGGCCTGAATTTCTATACCC